TAAATACCTACAGAATTTCAATAACACAATAAGGCCAAAAGAAATTCAAGCATTAAAGATTGCAAACCATCCACAACATACCAACAGCATAAAAGATGTCTATAGACCATGTAGTCTGACCTTAGACTTAGTTCAAAGGCAAGCAGATAAGAAGCAAACTTCTGTTCACCACAACAGCCCTGATTCTAAATATCATTACCATCTCCCAGAGTCTTACTTTTATCGTCAAATCAAAATGGTAGAATTTGTCATGACAATGCTCAGGCATCAGATGGGACACCCCCATGAGTGATTTGTCACTCTGTTTTGTTTTTTTATGCTGACAACATGCAAGCAAAATCTAATCCCTCCAAATACCAAAAACACTGTAATTACCACTTTCAATGCCTGAGAAAAACAGAACAATCACAGTTACACATTCAACATAGAGCTGACTCGTTCAACACCTCAACACAATACATCCACTCATTATGAATATAAATTGTCTATACTAGTGGCAAAAGTGACATACAGTGTGCTGCAAAATTATGTCTAATTAACAAAATTCTATATTTCTACACAATACTTTAAGTCTGAATGACTGACCACGTCTGTACACAATACTTTAAGTCTGAATGACTGTCAATTCGGCGTTTGGCCTAGAAATTTAGCCGAGACCTATAGACAAAATGAAAAGTGAAGTAAAGTTGTATTTTGCCAAAATATATCATCAAAAAATAAACATTCGTGCTAGCTCCAGGGTCGAAGTTTACAAGTCTGCCTTAATTGCCTTGAGGTACTTTTGTAAGTTCATGCTAACCTTATATACACTAACTTTAAATGTTTTTGTTCATGTGCGGTTTTTAAGACTACAAACTACAAACTACAAACAAGTACTTGCCCCGCTGAACGCCTGTAAAGCCACTGTCTTTAACTAAATAGCTAATTAGCATCGAAGCTAGGCTAGTTGCTTCAGTTGGAACGTTCTGTCTCCCCCTTTTTCATCTTCGTCAATACCCTTCTCTCCGTCCTCTGCCACACGTTAACCCCAGGTCTATATGATGGTCCGTTAAAACGACTAAAAGGTTAAATGAATGTGGTGTATGCAAAATTTTGACGTTAAAAGCCTTTCTCTCCAACAGCCGGAGGTGATGCCCCGTGTCGAACGTATCCCCCCTCCTACAACCGAGGAGCGGTGTCACCAAAGCGAGCTGGCCGTTGTCTCCCTAGTGCCTGAAAGGCCCCAGCGTCATCTCGAGTAAATGGTGGAATAAGCTCAAAATAACACAATGACAGCTTCTATTTATTTACCTTCAATGCTTGTGTATCTGTCGACTTACCTTTGCTTTGGTAATGATGTGCGTGGCTAGTTTAACAACCGCGAAATTCCCCTTGCCGATGGTCCGCTCAATTTCATAGTGGCCCACTCGGGCTGGGGGGGGCCTGGTGGCCGAAGAGTGCCCAGGATTGGTGATGCACCCAGTGGTCGTGCCGGTGCGACTGGAGTGGCTAATCCCGGAGGATGGCTGGGCTCGGTTCTGGGAGCCTATTACTGCGTGGGTCGGTCGGGCAGGGTGCGTAATCCCGGCCGCAGTGGACCCAGCAGCACCTCCGCTTGACACGGCCGCCATCTTCTCGCCTCTCTGCGGGAACAACAAGCAGCCTTGCGCAGCGCGCATCTCGGACACGCCCCCGCCCTGCGTCATATGACGTGAAAGCTCCTCCGCAGCGCCCTCTCTAGGATGTAACCATGGGAACGATCGGCGTAACAAATGACTTCATCCACTGAAACGTGTAGTGGTTGCCTAGACGACAGCGAAGTGCGCATTATCATTCCGGTTCCCATGATTCAG